TATAGAAAGTAAAGCCAAAGTGCCTTATTTTACTGAGATACCTTTTAATAACCCAACTGGTAGGTGAATAAAGCTTTTGAAAAAAGTCAAAGCAAATGTTACTAATCACCAGATAAGTAAATTGCAGTTTTGACAAGCATCCACTGATACAGAATCATTGAATTCTAGAGCTGGTCAGGGCTTTTTAAAGTCATCTATTCCAATGCTGATAATTTACAAAGAAAGGGCTGAGAATCATAGTTATTACATAACCTGCCCAAAGTCACAACGGTAGTTAAGTAGCCACATTAGGACTCATAACTCCATATCTTCAGTTCTAGACCAGAGCTCTCTATCCTAAAGCAATGTCAGAGTTATTCTTTTTTATTATAATAATGAAAAGTAATTTTTTTAAAATTTTTTATTGGATTTTAGGTTTTGGGGTACATGAGCAGAGCATGCAAGACAGTTGCATAGGAACACACATGGCAGTGTGCTTTTCTTTCCTTCTCCCCTTCACCCACATTTGGCATTTCTCCCCAGGCTATCCCTCCCCACCTCCTCCTCCCACTGGCCCTCCCCTTTTCCCCCCAATAGACCCCAGTGTTTAGTACTCCCCTTTCTGTGTCCATGTGTTCTCATTTTTCATCACCCGCCTATGAGTGAGAATATGCGGTGTTTCATTTTCTGTTCCTGTGTCAGTTTGCTGAGGATGACGTTCTCCAGATTCATCCATGTCCCTACAAACGACACAAACTCATCATTTCTGATTGCTGCATAATATTCCATGGTGTATATGTGCCACATTTTTCCAATCCAGTCTATTATCAATGGGCATTTGGGTTGATTCCAGGTCTTTGCTATTGTAAACAGTGCTGCAATGAACATTCGTGTACATGTGTCCTTATAGTAGAACGATTTATAGTCTTTTGGATATATACCCAGTAATGGGATTGCTGGGTCAAATGGAATTTCTATTTCTAAGGCCTTGAGGAATCGCCACACTGTCTTCCACAATGGTTGAACTAATTTACACTCCCACCAACAGTGTAAAAGTGTTCCTTTTTCTCCACATCCTCTCCAGCATCTGTTGTCTCCAGATTTTTTAATGATCGCCATTCTAACTGGCGTGAGATGGTATCTCAATGTGGTTTTGATTTGCATCTCTCTGATGACCAGTGACGATGAGCATTTTTTCATATGATTGTTGGCCTCATATATGTCTTCTTTTGTAAAGTGTCTGTTCATATCCTTTGCCCACTTTTGAATGGGCTTGTTTGTTTTTTTCCTGTAAATCCGTTTGAGTTCTTTGTAAATTCTGGATATCAGCCCTTTGTCAGATGGGTAAACTGCAAAGATTTTTTCCCATTCTGTTGGTTGCCGATCCACTCTAGTGACTGTTTCTTTTGCCGTGCAGAAGCTGTGGAGTTTGATTAGGTCCCATTTGTCTATTTTGGCTTTTGTTGCCAATGCTTTTGGTGTTTTGTTCATGAAGTCCTTGCCTACTCCTATGTCCTGGATAGTTTTGCCTAGATGCAAAAATCTTCAATAAAATATTGGCAAGCCGAATGCAACAGCAAATCAAAAAACTTATTCACCATGATCAAGTAGGATTCATCCCGGGGATGCAAGGCTGGTTCAACATACACAAGTCTATCAACGTAATTCACCACATAAACAGAACCAAAAACATAAACCACATGATTATCTCAATTGACGCAGAGAAGGCATTTGACAAAATTCAACAGCCCTTTATGCTAAAAACCCTCAATAAACTCGGTATCGATGGAACACATCTCAAAGTAATAAAAGCTATTTATGACAAACCAACAGCCAATATCATACTTAATGGGCAAAAACTGGAAGCATTCCCTTTGAAATCTGGCACTAGACAAGGATGCCCTCTTTCACCACTCCTATTCAATATAGTTCTGGAAGTTCTAGCCAGAGCAATCAGGCAAGAAAAAGAAATAAAGGGTATTCGAATAGGAAAGGAGGAAGCCAAATTGTCTCTATTTGCAGACGACATGATAGTATACCTAGAAGACCCCATCACCTCAGCCCAAAAACTCCTGAAACTGATAAGCAACTTCAGCAAAGTCTCAGGATATAAAATCAATGTGCAAAAATCACAAGCATTCCTCTACACCAATAACAGACTTAAAGAAAGTCAAATCAAGAACGAACTGCCATTCACAATTGCTACAAAAAGAATAAAATACCTTGGAATACAACTCACAAGGAACGTAAGGGACCTCTTTAAGGAGAACTACAAACCACTGCTCATCGAATTCAGAGAGGACACAAACAGATGGAGAAACATTCCATGTTCATGGTTAGGAAGAATTAACATCGTGAAAATGGCTATACTGCCCAAAGTAATTTACAGAATCAACGCTATCCCCATCAAGCTACCATTGACTTTCTTCACAGAACAGGAGAAAACCACCATGAACTTCATATGGAAACAAAAGAGAGCCCGCATAGCCAAGTCAATTCTAAGCAAAAAGAACACAGCGGGGGGCATCACACTACCGGATTTCAAACTATACTACAAGGCTACAGTAATCAAAACAGCATGGTACTGGTACCAAAACAGAGATATAGACCAATGGAACAAAACAGAGGCACCGGAGGCAACACAACATATCTACAACTATACAATCTTTGATAAACATGACAAAAACAAGCAAGGGGGAAAGGATTCCCTGTTTAACAAATGGTGTTGGGAAAACTGGCTAGCCATGTACAGAAAGCAGAAACTGGACCCCTTCCTGACACCTTACACTAAAATTAACTCCAGATGGATTAAAGACTTAAACATAAGACTTGGCACGATAAAAACTCTAGAAGGAAATCTAGGAAAAGTAATTTTTTATGCAGACTGGGTCTCACTGTGTCGGTCAGCCTGGACTCAAGTTTCTGGCATTAAGCGATCCATCTGCTTTGGCCTTCCAAATTGCTGAGATTATAGGCAAGAACCACCACACACCTGGTCTTTGGAGGAACTCTTGCTTTGTGTGTTTGGGCTGGTCTTCCTCTGTAGTCAGTAAGATGTTCCTGCAGTGTAGTTTGAAATCTTTCTGCACAAATTTAGTGGATCCTGTGATTTTATTTTACATGTAATAAGATACATTACAAATAAATTCACAATTAATAAGCTAGACAATTCACAGTCAGTATCCTATGGCTTAGAAAGGTTTATCCTTTATCCACACATGTTTATAAGGAAATGCTTGAAGAAGTCGTCTAAATATGCAGATTCCTAACCATCCCCAAGAGAAAGGGAACCACTGGAAGGCAACTTGGGAGGGTGTGTGGGGTGGTTCTGAGGTTGTGAAAGCCACTGAAATTCACACATAAGGGGGTAGAAAGAGGGAATACTTTTGAGTACCTACAAGTGCAGGGTATAACTTGGGCTTCATTAAGATGCACCACCTTTGGGGTCAGATAGAACTGGATTGAGTCCCAATTACATCTTTCATTACTACATGCTAGTGAATTTGTTTTCAAGTCCTCTGAGTCTCAGTCTTCTCATCTATAAAACATGGGGTTGTTATGAGGCTTACATATGGTACATGTGTAAAAATGTAGACACAATGCCTGTCATTTCGAAAGTGTTCAATATATGGAGGGGGAAGTATTAGTTTCCCCTCATTTAATTTTTAGAGCAAGTTTATAAAATTTGAGTTATGATTTATATTTCTTAGATGAACCAAGCATGAGAAAGATTCCATAAATCCCCACAGTCACAAAGCAGCTCCCAGTACTTTTACTTGGTAATTACTAGTTAAAAGTGGCAATGACAGGGACCAGTGGCTCATGCCTGTAATCCCAGCACTTTGGGAGGCCAAGGTGGTGGACCACTTGAGGCGGGGAGTTAGAGACCAGCCTGACCAACATGGAGAAACCCCGGCTCTCCTAAAAGTACAAAATTAGCCAGGTGTGGTGGTGCATACCTGTAATCCCAGCTTCTTGGGAGGCTGAGGCAACAAAGTGACTTGAACCCAGGAGGCTGAGGTTGTGATGAGCCGAGATCATGCCATTGCATTCCAGCATGGGCAATAAGAGTGAGACTCCATCTCCAAAACAAAACAAAACAAAACAAAATGTACCAATGATTTTCACATTTAAAATCTTGTATTATGTGGTGGTTTTCTTTTCCTTTTTTGAGATGAAATCTGTCTCTGTCACCCATGCTGAAGTACAGTGGCATGATCTCAGCTCACTGCAACCTCTGCCTCCCAGTTTCAAGCAATTCTCTTGCCTCAGCCTTCCTGAGTAGCTGGACATGTGGCACATGCCTGGTGAATTTTTTATATTTTTAGTAGAGACAAGAGTTTTATCGTGTAAGCCAGGATGATCTCGATCTTCTGACCTCATCATCCACTCACCTCAGCCTCCCAAAGTGCTGGAGTCACAGGATTGAGCCACCCTGGCTGGCCCAGTTTTCTTTTACATAAGCCTTTTCATTTGTTGAAACCATAGATTCTATGTTGCTCTGTCCAAGTGAAAATTAGAAGAATGTGATGTACTTAGTGTATAAATTTTAGAAAACTTCCCTTACTACTCTCGTTAGTTTGATTGAATATGTGTGTAATTTTTTAAAAATGTGAACTGAATAAATATATATTGAAAATGTAAGTTGTCATCACAGAGTACACTTAGTTCATGGCAATGCTTTCTCTGAAGGCAACTGCAGAAATTTACTCTCTCTTCTTTTTAGTTTGCAAGAACTCAGAGGCCACAGGGGAAAGGGAGTTCTTTGGATACCAGATAAGGCATGAAGCAGATGTGGTTACAGCAATTTTGGTATAATTCATTGAAAGGTGATGATCTCTAGGAACGTCATCACAGTGGAGAAACCTGAAAGCTCCCAGCAGCCAGCAATGAATGAAAGATGTGGGCGGGGCTGCCAACAGGGTGGGGCCTGGTGAGCCATGTGCCTGGGCTCCCACATCACAGTGGGGGTGGGGGTGCCTCATAGAGGAGACTCTGCTGATTGGTTCCTGTGCCCCAGGTTGGAACTCTGGTGGTTGGTAGGGCAACCTCCTTCAGTTGGTAGAAAGCAGCGGAAGGAGGAACTCCCTCTGTGCTGTCTTCTCTGCGATCTCAGCTCTCAGGCTTGTTGTATCTAGACCCATTTTAAATCAAGCAGGTTCCCTTCAGACCAGTCATCTCAGGGGATGCAGCTGAGGCGGGGCGTGAGCTGTTAGTGGGGTGCAGCCCCATAGCCAGGGGTTGGCCCTGCCAGCGTGCCTGTGTTTGAAAGAGGTAAAGTGCTGAACTCTGCAGACTGGGAGGCAAGGGAAGGTCTAAGTTGCTGGAGAGGAGCCAACGTGCCCCATGGGGAACACACTGAGTTGTTTTTGCCCCAAAGTCCGCCGCAGGCGAGGTCTGCGTAGGCTGTCTGAGGATCTGTCCATCTCTGACATCAGTGAGGCGATGGCAAGCATAGGTGCGGGCCAAGACAGAAGGAACATGTCCAACACCAGTGCCAGACCCATTTGGGGCCCGAGCTGGCTGTGTGGGGTGGTGTCTGGCAGCTGCGATGACATCTATAAGGCAGTGTCAAGCATAAGTGCAGACCAAGGCAGAGAGGAGCAGAGGCCGGGCAGAGGGATCATGGAGCTCCCCAATGCAAGACACAAGCAGAGCCAGAAAGGGGTGCATGGGGCAGAACCAATAGAGTGGGAGGTGGTGGAAGCGCCAGGCCCTACTGCTGTGGAGCCTGCCCTGTGGGATTTGGGAGCCGGCGAGGGCCATGACCTACAACACATCAGCGACCAGGAGATGCCCAAAGGTAAGGAGATGAATGAAACTGTTTGCCCTCAGGCACGCCTCTGGCTGACACTGATATCAGTTCTCACCCCTCCCCCCACCCCAGAGGCATCCACAGCCTCCGGCTCCTCCCTCCTGCCCCTAGCCAGCTTTCCCAGGCCCATGTACCAGGCAGGAGGACTGGCCCTGCCTCGTGCCTGCCCCACCCTTCATTCTTTCTCCCTGCTGCATCTGGAGGTTTCTTTCCTCCTCCCTACCCCAATGCCCAGTTCTGCTTCCTTTCTCAACCCCAGGCCGGCCAAAAGCTAAGTTTTCCAAATAGGAAATGTATGCTACAGATTTCATTGCTGTAGAGGAAGTGTCTTACAGCTCTTCTGTTTACTTTGGTTGGCCTCTTAATTTATTTAAACGTTAGAATAATTAAGCTTCATGATGAATGTTACTTTGTAGCTAAAAGGTATTGTTCTCTCAGAATATTCAAAAATGGTGAAAGAATGAACACAGATAGTATGTGAATGAATTGTGCCTTTATACACAAAGCATGCCAGTACTTGTGAAAGCTTTTCCTTGTTCGGTGGTGTAAAGTAAGCCTCTGAGTGCTTTCACACACCAGGTAGCAGATGGGTAGTGTTGGATGACGGCCCAAAATAGACTCTTCATATCGTTTTTGGGGATTTGTAACACATTTACAGGTATGTCTCATTTGACCCTGTCTACAAAAAAAATGGTTTAAAATTAGCCAGATATGGTGGCTTGCACCCACAGTCCCAGCTGCAAGAGAATCTCTTGAGCCCAGGAGTTTGAGCCTTCATTGAGTTCTGCTGGCTCCATCTCACCATTGCACCACTCCAGCCTGGGCAACAGAGTGAGACTTTGTCTTTTTAAAAAATTGTTTTTGCCCCAAACAGCTCTTTGTTTTAAGACATCTGAAATATTGAGCAGGTGTCTGACCACAGTAATTGACCACAGCCTCTCTTACTGCTTGAGATTTTCCCTGAAAGGTGCTGGTAATAGCAGCCTAGAGGAAGGTGGTTATATTTGATAAGTAGAGGGAGGAGGGCATACATGTGATTCATCTAAAAGTTGCATCTGTTTATTTAGGTGCAAGTTTGAAAAAGAAGTCCCAGCCCCTTCCTGGTTTTATTCCACATGCATGGAGAGATCCTGTGATTTTTGCATTCTCCAGTAGAATTGGGACATTGGTGCCTTTATTTTCTTGACATTTATTACTAAGAACTTTTCTCAAGACTGTGATGCAAATGGTTATGTAGCTTTAAAAAGAATCTTTTCTACTCACCTCACTTATAACATTGTTTCCTCTTCTTCCGCTACAGATACTGCTTCTGACCATCCAAGGGCAAGCACACTCTTCCTGAGAAGGTATCAAATGAGCGATGAGACAATGTTGTTTCCGCCTTCAAGGAAAACCTACAACTTTTATGTCTTGTGTATTACAGAAAGTATTTAGAGAAACTCAGATATTAGTTAAAAAGTTCAACTTTTCATAGATTTCCTTGTCTTATTTTCATATGTGATATAATTTCCTTTAGTTGTCACTGTTTATGGAAACATACAGACTTTGTGTTTACACATTTGGTGACATTTTTACCAACACAATTAATTGGCCGCATGATTTAGTGTAGTAGTCACAGATTTATGCCTTTTTCTTCATACATAAAGAAAACAACAACAACAGTAACAACAACACCCCAAGAAGTTCCTGTATGAACTCAGAGCAGGAACTCACTCATCACCAAGGGGATGGCGCTAAGGCATTCATGAGGGATCTGCCCCCATGATCCAAAGACTTCCCCACCTCCAACACTGGGGATTACATTTCAGCATGAGATTTGGAGGGCACACACATTGCCTAATTTGTTTTGCCTTTCCTTATGTACATGGGGATTCTTTCATTTGATCGTAAGAGAATATGTGTTAGGTCAAAAACTAAAACTGTGTTTTTAAATTTTACATTATGAGATTCATCATGCCAGCTTATTTAAATGTTAAATTTTGCTTAAATTAAAAAATTTTTTTAAATTGATTTTTTATATATAGTGATAATCAGATTTATCTTGTTTTATATAGTGATGGTCAGATGATTAGCAAGTACTTTTATTCTATGGTATTTTATTATACCAGAATTGATTAGTTATATTTTTATTTTTAGTGCAAGGAAAGAGGAGAAGCTTTCGCCTATATTCTGTAAGTAAGCTTTTGAAAAGTTAAATAATTGTTTAAATTAAAAGTCTATCTGTCATGATTCCTTAGAAATGTAACAGGGACCCAGTGCTGTTAGCGTGATCCTTTCTTGGTGAATTTTCTAACTCTTTTCTATTTTTCTAAGTGTCAGATTTATGCAGGAAAGTCTTTAACTTACTGTGCCCATTTTTAGGGCTGTCTGACATTTAAGTTAAATTTAAATTATTTGGTTGTGATGTAAAGATCTGTCTTAAATATTTAATCTTTTAAAATGAAATCAAATGGAAAATAGCAAAGTCCATTTTCTTCAACACTTTCTGCTGACTCCCTGTCATAGCAGCTGAAAGCGCAGCATCCTCACTCCACTGGGACCTTATTTCCCTCCCCGTTTCTTTCACCTGTAACACATTTTTAATTAACTCATGAAGTGATACTTACATGATCATGACTATGCACATCATATTCACTGCTGAGTCATGTAATGTTCTCAGTGTGCCTCCTCCTTGTACATCCTTCATTCTTTCTCTTAAATATTTCTGAAACCTGAACACTTTTGCACTTCTCCCAGATAACCTCCCTTTTCCTAGCCCATGATGGCTCATAAAGCCAAATAATGACCATTAGCCTCCAGCTGGTCTCTTTGTTTTCACATCCTTCATTTGTGTGTGTGTGGAATTGATTTTCTGACTATATTCCTTTGGCTCTCTAACGACTGTTCTTCCCCAAGAGTTGTAACATGTGTCACATGCCTATCAAAAATGTGTTTTATTTACTAAAAAATACATTCCATGTTTTTTTCTTGAAGCAAGTTTCCTTGGCCTTTCATTATCATCCTCAGGATAGACTGTGTTTTCCTAGGCTGCCCTGCACCTGTTGGCCTGGGAGCTCTCTCTGAAATCTTCTGGGACCACTGATGTTGGGTCCCTGAGTCCTAGACTGTGCGTTGCCCTCTGCCTTTTGTTACTCCCCAGTGGTGCTGGAGTGCAGTTTCTGAGGAAAGGCTCATGTACACACATGTTTAGAGATCTGGGCTTTCTTAAAACCCCTCTTTTGATATAAAGTATAAAATTCTAGAATGAAAACTAAATGTCATGGCTTGAAGACACTTTCTATTGCATTTTTATTATACTGTTTTTGAAAGTATTGCCATTGTGTGATACGTCATATGTAATCTGTGTTTCCATCTGTCAAGTTTTTAGGACCTTCTGTATCCCTGAGATTCTGAAATTGTATCACAGAGCTTGCTATGGACCTTTTATTTTATTGTGGCCCTTAAGTCTACAATAAAAGTTAGAGAATTTTTCTGTGTGCTCTGTTTTGTTATTATTTTAGTCTAATGATTCAGATGTTGGACCTCTTAGACCAGTATTTCTGCATTGATCTGTAATTTCTTCACCTCCGATTTTCCAGTTTGTCTTTTGTTCTGTTCTTCGAGATTCTTTGACTGTCCATGCTAACTGTTCTATTGAATTTTTAAAAATCTCCTTAAGGGTGTTTTAAGATTTGTAAAAAGGTTTTGCTCCTGAAATTTTACTGGTCCCAGGAATTTCTTTTTTCGTGTTGTTTTGATCTTTCATTGAAGGCTTTGCTCAAATGTGTGGTGGTCTTTGGCTTTCTTTCATTGAAAGCAGGACCTTTTTTTCACTGAGGGGTCTCACTGTAGGGATTTAAATGTCAAGGCAGCTTTTCCTTTGAGGGACCTCAGTGTACTATATGAGGAAAGGAGGGTATTTTCTTTCCCATGGTTCAGTTTTCTTTCCCATGGTTCAGTTTTCTTTCCCATGGTTCAGTTTTCTTTCAAGAAGAGTCTCCCAATTTTCTGCCTGGGCAGTGCAAACATGGCTACTGGCTTTCCAGAAGCAGGGTTGGGAAGCAAGGTGGAGTTTCACTTTGTGTGTGTCATTTACTCCCATTTCCCAGGTTTCAGCCCTGGTAGGTCTAAGCTCAGAAACCTTCAGGTATAATATATGCAGAGAATACACATCAACATTCCTTATAAGATGGGAGGACAGGTGGACCTGGGGCTCTAACCGCAGATTTACTATTGACCTTGCCGGCTCCCTTGTATGTTTCACCCTACCTTCCCAGGTACCATGCGCTTTGATTTTGGAGACTGTGTTGGGTTCTTCAAAATACACAGGATTGCTTGTTTCTGTTCAAGTGGGCACTAGGGTTGTGTTTTCATGTCAGTTACCACTCCTCTATCTGCTTGTCACCTTGCAACATTGACTCAGAATCATCTGCTGTCAATCCTGCCTCCTGATCCTGTGTATAGTGCTTATTTTGTGACTAATTCTCATGAGATTTCAGAAGGAAGAGAAAATAAATTTGTGGTCAATTCATCATATTTAACCCAAATTTAGAACATATATGTAAGTGTAAATCTAAGTTTAAGTCGAACATAATTATGACATTAATTCAGACAATTTTCTAGTTTTACCTATAATAAGTATAATACGTTTTTCCACTCAGGTCTTGTGTAATAATTCTATTCAAACTCCATACCTGCCATGGGTCCCATTGCTGTGCAACATAGATGGAGCTGATTTTGTTAGCACACAAAGTATTGGAAATTTTCAAATTAGCTAAAAGTCATTACTTATTTTAAAAACATCTAAAACATGTCTTATAAAAAAGTGGGGAGAAAAAGTGATCTTGAGGGCCAGGTGTGCTGGCTCATGCCTGTAATCGCAGCATTTTGGGAGGCTGAGGCAGGTGGCTCTTTTGAGGCCAGGAGTTCGAGACCAGCCTGGCCAAGATGCTGAAACCTTGTCTCTACTAAAAATACAAAAACTAGGGAGGAGGACTCAAGATGACGCTGTGAGAACAACCCAGGATTGGAGTTCTCGTTGTGTCTGCGGAGAGGTGAGTCTGAGCTGCATTTCCAGACTGATCTTTGTTGCTCACAGAACGGGGAAATTCCCAAGTGAAGAGGAGATGCGGGATGCCAGGCAGATATTCCGCCTGGCGAAGCCGGCAGCCGGGGTGTCGGCGGCCGGCCCTACCCAGCGCTCCCCACAGGGCGCACTTGTCCGGGTGCCCCGTTGAACCGGCAACTGGAGACGTGAGAGGGCTGGACTTGAGACTGAGCTAGACTTGAACAGTGGGCCAGCCCAGGGGATTGCAGGAACAGAGCCTTAGGATTGGCCCAGTGGGACGAACAAAACCGCAATTTCAAACAAGGCCCGTGCAGACGGCCCCAGATGCCCTGAGGGGGAGGGGCGACCACCATTACCGAGGCAACCCGCCCCAACTGAGATACACGCCCATTGCTGACGCAGCCAGCCGTTGCCGAGGCAACCCGTCCCTACTGAGATGCACGCCCACTGCTGACGCAGCCAGCCGTTGCCGAGGCAACCCGTCCCTACTGAGATACACGCCCACTGCTGACGCAGCCTGCCGTTGCCGAGGCAACCCGCTACAACAGAGAGACTCCGCCACAGGGCGTGGCGGAGAACAGCAGAACAGCGGAGCCAGGGCGAGCCTCACAACAGCAGGGCGGAGCCTCGGCAGGCAAACAGTGGCTAGTCTGCATCCTAGCTGGGCAGGACCTCAACGGACATCCAAAAATAAAGCCCAAACCCCTCAACACAGAGCATTGGAGAAAAAAAAGGGTTTTTTTAATGAGCTCTGTTGCAGCAGAATCAAACATAGCAGCCTAACAGCCCTGAATGAACAACACAGCTCACAGCTCAGCAATTAAACCCCTATAAAGTACAAACTGTCTCCTCAAGCAGCTCCCTGACCCCTCTATATCCAAAAGACTGACATTAGGCAGGCACCATCCTGGGACAAAGATAGCAGAAAAAGAAACTGGTAGCATCCCTCGCTGTGTCACAGCTGCTAGAGGTGCACCCCAGACAAGCAGGGTCTGGAGCGGACCTCAGCACTTGTACAGCGAAGGGGCTAGACTGGTAGAAGGAAAACCAAGCAACAGAAATACTTCATCATCAACATTCAGGGTGTCCACTCAGAGACCCAATCGAAAAGTCAGCAACTACGCAGACGACCAGCGGAAAAATCCGCAAAGATGGGAAGAAACCAGCGCAAAAAGGAGGAAAACACCCGAAACCAGAACACCTCGCCTCCTAGAAAGGACCAAAACTCCTCACCAGCAAGGGAACAAAGCTGGACGGAGAATGACTGTGACGAAATGACGGAATTAGACTTCAGAAGATGGATAATGAGAAACTTTGGTGAGCTAAAAGATCATGTATTAAATCAATGCAAAGAAACTAAGAACCTTGAGAAAAGATTTGAAAAAAGATTTGAGGAAATGATAACAAGAATGGATAACTTAGAGAGGAATATGAACGAATTAAAGGAGCTGAGAAACACAATACGAGAACTTCGCGAAGCATGCACAAGTTTCAATAGCTGAATTGACCAAGCAGAAGAAAGAATATCTGAAGTCGAAGACCAACTCAATGAAATAAAACGAGAAACCAAGATTAGAGAAAAAAACGCAAAAAAGGAATGAACAAAGTCTCCAAGAAATGTGGGACTATGTGAAAAGACCTAACCTACGTTTGATAGGTGTACCAGAAGGGGACGAAAAGAATGAATCCAAGCTGGAAAATACTCTTCAGGACATCATCCAGGAAAATTTCCCCCACCTAGCAAGACAGGCCAACACTCAATTGCAGGAAATTCAGAGAACACCACAAAGATATTCCGCAAGAAGAGCAACCCCAAGGCACATAATCGTCAGATTCAATAGGGTTGAAATAAAGGAGAGAATACTAAGGGCAGCCAGAGAGAAAGGTCGGGTCACCCACAAAGGGAAGCCCATCAGACTCACAGCAGATCTCTCAGCAGAAACACTACAAGCCAGAAGAGAGTGGGGGCCAATATTCAACATTCTTAAAGAAAAGAACTTTCAACCCAGAATTTCATATCCAGCCAAACTGAGCTTCAGAAGTGAAGGAAAAATAAAATCCTTTGCGAACAAGCAAGTACTCAGAGATTTTGTCACCACCAGGCCTGCTTTACAAGAGCTCCTAAAAGAGGCAGTACACATAGAAAGGAACAACCAGTACCAGCCATTCCAAAATCACACCGAATGCTAAAGAGCATCAACATAATGAAGAATCTACAACAACTAACAGGCAAAACAGCCACTTAGCATCAAAATGGCAGTATCAAATTCACACATAACAATATTAACCCTAAATGTAAATGGACTAAATGCACCAATCAAAAGACACAGACTGGCAAATTGGATAAAAATCCAAAACCCATCAGTGTGCTGTATCCAGGAAACCCATCTCACATGCAAGGATACACAAAGGCTCAAAATAAAGGGATGGAGGAAGATTTACCAAGCAAATGGAGAGCAAAAAAAAAGCAGGAGTTGCAATTCTCATCTCCGATAAAATAGACTTTAAAGCAACAAAGATCAAAAGAGACAAGGCCATTACATAATGGTAAAAGGATCGATACAACAAGAAGAGCTAATGATCCTAAACATATATGGACCCAATGCAGGAGCACCCAGATACATAAGGCAAGTTCTTAAGGACTTACAAAAGGACTTAGACTCCCACACAATAATAGTGGGAGACTTTAACACTCCACTGTCAATACTACACAGATCTACCAGACAAAAAATCAACAAGGATATCCAGGGCTTGAACTCAGACCTGGAGCAAGCAAACCTCATAGACATTTACAGAACTCTCCACCCCAAATCCACAGAATACACATTCTTCTCAGCACCACATCACACCTACTCTAAAATTGACCACATAATTGGAAGTAAAGCACTGCTCAAAAAATGCAAAACAACTGAAATCATAACAAACAGCCTCTCAAACCATAGTGCAATCAAGTTAGAACTCAGAATTCAGAAACAGACCCAGAACCGCACAGCTTCATGGAAACTGAACAACTGGCTCTTGAATGTTGACTGGGTAAACAACGAAATGAAGGCAGAAATAAAGAAGTTCTTCGAAACCAATGAGAACGAAGACACAACGTGCCAGAACCTCTGGGACACATTTAAAGCAGTCTCTAGAGGAAAGTATATAGCAATAAGTGCCCATATGAGGCGAATGGAGAGATCCAAAATTGACACCCTATCATCAAAATTGAAAGAGCTAGAGGACCAAGACCAAAAAAACTCAAAACCCAGCAGAAGACAAGAAATAACTAAGATCAGAGCTGAGCTGAAGGAGATTGAGACACGAAAAACCCTTCAAAAAATCAATAAATCCAAGAGCTGGTTTTTTGAAAAGATCAACAAAATAGACAGACCACTAGCCAGATTGATTAAAAATAAAAGAGCGAACAACCAAATAGATGCAATAAAAAATGATAAAGGGGAAATCACCACAGACTCCACAGAAATTCAAACCATCATCAGAGAATATTACAAACAACTCTATGCGCATAAACTAGTAAACCTGGAAGAAATGGACAAATTCCTGGATTCCTGTGTCCTCCCAAGCCTAAACCAGGAGGAAGCTGAAACTATGAATAGACCAATAACAAGGTCTGAAGTCGAGGCAGCAATTAAGAGCCTACCACACAAAAAAAGCCCAGGTCCAGACGGGTTCACAGCCGAATTCTACCAGACACACAAGGAAGAGCTGGCACCATTTCTTCTAAAACTATTTCAAACAATCCAAAAAGAGGGAAGCCTTCCCAAATCATTTGATGAGACCAACATCATCCTGATACCAAAACCCGGCAGAGACCCAACGAGAAAAGAAAACTTCAGGCCAATATCCATGATGAACATAGATGCAAAAATCTTCAATAAAATATTGGCAAGCCGATTGCAACAGCAAATCAAAAAACTTATTCATCATGATCAAGTAGGATTCATCCCGGGGATGCAAGGCTGGTTCAACATACGCAAGTCTATAAATGTAATTCACCACATAAACAGAACCAAAAACAAAAACCACATGATTATCTCAATTGACGCAGAGAAGGCATTTGACAAAATTCAACAGCCCTTTATGCTAAAAACCCTTAAAAAACTCGGTATCGATGGAACATATCTCAAAGTAATAAAAGCTATTTATGACAAACCAACAGCCAATATCATACTGAATGGGCAAAAACTGGAAGCATTCCCTTTGAAATCTGGCACTAGACAAGGATGCCCTCTTTCACCACTCCTATTCAATATAGTTCTGGAAGTTCGAGCCAGAGCAATCAGGCAAGAAAAAGAAATAAAGGGTATTCAAATAGGAAAGGTGGAAGCTAAATTGTCTCTGTTTGCAGACGACATGATAGTATACCTAGAAGACCCCATTGCCTCAGCCCAAAAACTCCTGAAACTGCTAAGCAACGTCAGCAAAGTCTCAGGATATAAAATCAATGTGCAAAAATCACAAGCATTCGTCTACACCAATAACAGACTTAAAGAAAGCCAAATCAAGAATGAACTACCATTCGCAATTGCTACAAATAGAATAAAATACCTTGGAATACAACTCACAAGGAACGTAAGAGACCTCTTCATGGAGAACTACAAACCACTGCTCAACGAAATCAGAGAGGACACAAACAGATGGAGAAACATTCCATGTTCATGGTTAGGAAGAATTAATATCGTGAAAATGGCTATACTGCCCAAAGTAATTTACAGAATCAACGCTATCCCCATCAAGCTACCATTGACTTTCTTCACAGAACTGGAAAAAACCACCATGAACTTCATATGGAACCAAAAGAGAGCCCGCATAGCCAAGTCAATTCTAAGCAAAAAGAACACAGCGGGGGGCATGACACTACCGGATTTCAAACTATACTACAAGGCTACAGTAATCAAAACAGCATGGTACTGGTACCAAAACAGAGATATAGACCAATGGAACAAAACAGAGGCACCGGAGGCAACACAACATACATACAACTATACAATCTTTGATAAACCTGACAAAAACAAGCAATGGGGCAAGCATTCCATGTTTAACAAATGGTGTTGGGAAAACTGGCTAGCCATGTGCAGAAAGCAGAAACTGGACCCCTTCCTGACACCTTACACTAAAATTAACTCCAGATGGATTAAAGACTTAAACATAAGACTTGGCACCATAAAAACCCTAGAAGAAAATCTAGGCAAAACTATCCAGGACATAGGAGTAGGCAAGGACTTCATGAACAAAACACCGAAAGCATTGGCAACAAAAGCCAAAATAGACAAATGGGACCTAATCAAACTCCACAGCTTCTGCACGGCAAAAGAAACAGTCACTAGAGTGGATCGGCAACCAACAGAATGGGAAAAAATTTTGCAGTTTACCCATCTGACAAAGGGCTGATATCCAGAATTTACAAAGAATTCAAACAGATTTACAGAAAAAAAACAAACAAGCCCATTCAAAAGTGGGCAAAGGATATGAACAGACACTTTACGAAAGAAGACATATATGAGGCCAACAATCATATGAAAAAATGCTCATCGTCACTGATCATCAGAGAGATGCAAATCAAAACCACATTGAGATACCATCTCACGCCAGTTAGAATGGCGATCATTAAAAAATTTGGCGACAACAGATGCTGGAGAGGATGTGGAGAAAAAGGAACACTTTTACACTGTTGGTGGGAGTGTAAATTAGTTCAACCATTGTGGAAGACAGTGTGGCGATTCCTCAAGGCCTTAGAAATAGAAATTCCATTTGACCCAGCAATCCCATTACTGGGTATATATCCAAAAGACTATAAATCGTTCTACTATAAGGACACATGTACACGAATGTTCATTGCAGCACTGTTTACAATAGCAAAGACCTGGAATCAACCCAAATGCCCATTGATAATAGACTGGATTGGAAAAATGTGGCACATATACACCATGGAATATTATGCAGCAATCAGAAATGATGAGTTTGTGTCGTTTGTAGGGACATGGATGAATCTGTAGAACATCATCCTCAGCAAACTGACACAAGAACAGAAAATGAAACACCGCATATTCTCACTCAAAGGTGGGTGATAAAAAATGAGAACACATGGACACAGAAAGGGGAGTACTAAACACTGGGGTCTATTGGGGGGAAAAGGGGAGGGCCAGTGGGAGGGGGAGGTGGGGAGGGATAGCCTGGGGAGAAAAGCCAAATGTGGGTGAAGGGGAGAAGGAAAGAAAGCACACTGCCATGTGTGTACCTACGCAACTGTCTTGCATGCTCTGCTCATGTACCCCAAAACCTATAATCCAATAAAAAATTAAAAAAAAAAAAATACAAAAACTAGCCAGGTGTGGTGGCACACATCTGTAGTCCCAGCTACACAGGAGGCTGAGCCATGAGAATTGCTTGAACTTGGAGGCGGAGGTCACAGTGAGTGACAGGAAATTTTAAATCAAAAAAATGGGGACAGATATCACCTAAACCTGTACCAACTAGTCTGTGTTTTGGTGCTTTTTCCCTGTTATTTTTATTCTCGTATATGGAATTTTCCTCAGAATTGACTTTTGTTATGTTAAAGTATTATGCTGCACAGGTGACAGATAACATTGTTACAAGCTTGTCACAATGCTCTTAAAATCTTTAGGAGCCCTATTTTATTTTTTATGTGACAGTATCATCAAGCAATGAGCCCCATTTTAAAATTATAAAGTAAGTTCCTCTTCGCTCTGGCAGTCTTTTCATAGTTCTTAAAGGAGACGACCTTAGTGAATGGGCAGGAAGTTGCATCCTCAGAACCTGGCCGAGTGTAAACCTCAGCCAAAGCAGCTACAAGGGAACCCTCTAAAGGAATCTGTATGTGTGGCTTCTTATCAATGATGCCTTTTAAAAAATGTTGGAGCCTTTTTAAAAATTGTGCCTGTTTTCTCTTTGATTGACTTTCCTAGGCTATGTCACGGCCGTGTGAATACAAAGACCTGCATCAAGATGCTGCTGCTATGACAAGGATCGTCAGCATGGATTTCATCAGGATTCAGCATACTAATGCCATCTTATCTTAAAGAGAGAAATTAGCATTATAAGGTCCTGGACTTGTCAGCTATAAGGACTACAAAATATCACTTCTCCTGCTGAAAAAGACCAGCAAAATTAGGATTTTCTTTTTTCACGTTTTTTTTTTTTAATTTCTGTTGTTGTTGTTGTTGTTGTTGCTGTTGTTGTTGATTAGGATTTTCATAGAGCAGAGACTTCTTCAAATAACCACACTGTGAAGCTGGGTGATGGTGGCATGAACAGTGGGTGCCAGGTGCTACCTGCCCTTCTTGTTCCACTGAGTCCAGATGGCATTCTAGGGCACCACCTTCTTGAACAACTCTTGGGGAGGAAGACTGTCACATGGACACAGCACATCCCAGTCCAGAGTCCACAGTCACCCGCAGCCCCAAGCAGGTGACAGTCTGAGCTGAGCTGGAATTCAAAAAACTTTAGAATTGGCTCCAGATTTGTGAGAGGACCTGGATTTGGATCTCTGTCCATGAGGCACTGAATGCACGATGACCGGAAACAACAACTGTGGGAAGAGAGAATGGCATGGGGACAAGGCTGTCATTACTCCAAGTACCATGGGAACTCAGGCCTGTTCATCTAGTCTTTGGAGGGAATCTGTGCATGTGAAATGAGGCTCCCACATCATGGTTATTAAGGCAGAAATGAAATCAGCTCATTTTCCCCCAGGCCCACAATGGTCATGCCAAAACACAGAGGCTTGCTGTGTTGCCAGGCTGGAGCACAGTGGCAGGATCTCAGCTTTCTGCAACCTTCTCCTCCCAGGTTCAAGTGACTCTCCTGCCTCAGCCTCCCAAGTAGCTGGGACTGCAGGCATGAACCACCAACTCAGCTAATTTATATATTCTTAGTAGAGACCGGGTTTCATTACGGTGGCCAGGACAGTCTTGATCTCTTGACCTCATTCTGCCTGCCTCCGCCTCCCAAAGTGCTGGGATTACAGGTGAGAGCCACCGTGCCCAGCCTCTTGCATTTACCATTCACAATAAAGCAGTTTGGAATATCCCACTGTTGATTTGTGATTTCCTCCTCCAAACATAGTCTGTGGCTCTGTATTCATAATTGAATAGTTTTGTGTATTGATATTTTGTGTCTGAAGATGAAATATTAGATGAAACATGTTAAAACATTTCATGCAAAGCCTTCGGTGGTTGTGAGCCTACTCTTTGGTGAATACATGAATTAATCTATTTTAAATATTAAAATTTTTATTAGATGTGATAATGGTATTTTCTCTTTTATCTTCATTTGTTAGATAGAGTTACTTACATTCTTCCATAATTAATGACATTGTGTCTTATATTTGATGTAAAAAACTCCTAGAATATTTGGAATTGATCATTGAAATTAAACAGCAAAATGAGAATTGCTGAAACCTAGTGATAATGTACTCATAATGGGTTTATTATCTATTATCTCTATCATTGTTAATTTTTAAAGTTTCCATGGAAAACTATACTATGAACTTAAAATTTTCTATAAAACCCTTTGTGCTCTGCACTTTAGCTCCAATGCATAATGAATAAAGGAAAATGGATTCTCCTGTGGGAATTCTGCTGGACTCTTCCTTTCTTTTCCCTTTAACCTGGGGGGAGCATCTTGAGATCACTATAGGGTGAGGCGACCATGAGTGGGGTCCCTAGAGCTGCCACTGGGAGGAGTGTGTATGTGGAGATGGGTTTTGTGGCCACGTTTCTTCCTTGGGTCTTTCTGGTTGTGATGGTGGCTTTGGGGATGGTTTCTGAGGATCCTCTCAGAGGAGTCCTCCGCCTGTGGTGTCTCCCCTGGGGGAAGGCCTAAGGATATCTGGAGAGGGATTCATAGGTCCAGAAAGCACCGTTTTAGGGGCGGTGGGACCTCATGTCCCCGTAGGGTGGGCGGGATGTCTGAGGGAGTGCTGGAGGGAAGGAAGCCTTGTGTGTCGGGGTCGCTGTGCAAACTCAGTACAGTCTTAGACCTGGGGAAGTCATGATGGGGACTCAGAGTTGCTTGGGGCAGGAAAGGTGGTGGCCTAGGCAGTCACCAAGGTGTGACAGCATCGCTGATGTCAGGAGGCAGTTTTGGGAGGGGTCTTTGGAGGGGGAAAATTGTGGAGTCCCCATGGGTGGGGAAAGTGTGAGGGTGCTCCAAGGTTGGAGGTCAATTCGGAGTGGGTGGGAATAACCTAGGGGAGCTCTCAGGGGAATAATGGGCTCCCCAGGGGTCCAGGGTGGAAGGAAGGGGCCTCAGCAGGTCCTGTCTTGCAGGGCCTTTCTGTAGGGCATCTGAGAGATAAATCCCTGGGGCTTCTGAGGTCGCTGGTACCCCAGGTGGGGTGTTTTCCAGGGTCAGACCTTCCTGGGTCCTATAGAAAGGAAATGAAACTGGCTTCTTCCTCCCCACCACCTGGTTGACGCTTGGCAAACTCCCTTTGGGGAGTCCTGGGGCTTCTGGGTGGGGAAGCCCCTTGAGCCCTGGGGGACAGGCAGGCCACCCCTTGAAAGCTGGCAGCAGGAACAGATGGAGCTATGCACCTCTGCATCCTTTTATTATGGAATTGGAATTGGGTTTTCTTGGAGATGGTGCAGGTCTGAGGGTGGGTCGGGGCGCTCCCCCTGCTCCTTCTCTGCCAGACACAGTGTTCATTGCAGATCTGACCCCCTGGGCTGGCGCTGAGGGGACTGCGGCCTGGTGCAGGGTGACATTCAGGCTCCAGGGACTGTCAGGGGCCATCTTCACCCTGCGAGCATGAAGTCCACCCCACAGCTCCTGCACTGGCCAAGGAGGGCACATAGCACCCAACGTAGACCCACAGCCTGAGCTCCTGAGATTCTTTTTATTTCTGACACAGAGTCTTGTTCTGGAACCAGCCAGGCCAGGTAGGGATAGAAACATAAGTAATGCGGAGGGCTGGGAAAAAAAGAAAAGAAAAGAATAAAAGGCAAATTATTGAATGTGGTAGTCATGAAATATGTGGTTTTGCATTGGATTTCATTGTTACTTTGGGTTTAGAATGAGTGACTGAATGCAGTTTTAGGACTGGGATAGGCAACTGTAAAGCTCCAGGCCACTGGGCCCGGGAGGGTCTTGCTGACCTTCCTGTGAGATGCACTTTTGAGCTGTGCTTGATAAGGGATATGCCCAACCCTATGAGTACAGCGTCACATTCCTAACACTCTGTGAGTCACAGCAGTCTTCAACAAATTAAAATCATTTCCTTTGCTTTTCTGACCTGGTTAAACGAATCACGTGGTTCCCGCCCATTGATACCCCTAGGTCAATCACCAAACACGTGCCTGTTAGCTTGCTGCCTCCCTTTCTTTATTATGCTTTGAACTGGACCAGAAATATATTTCATTTTTACCATCTGTGACTTGGGTTCCTGAAAGTCGAAAGAACCTTAGTGTATGTTGATATGTCTATTTTATAAAATGCTTTACTGGGGTATACTTTGCTTTCACTCTCCTTTGCCATGTCAGATCTAGACAACAATCAATTTTATGTCTCTATACATGAGCCTATTATCAAAATGTCTACTACCCAGGATCGTGAATTATGTGGCCTTTTGGGTCTGGTTCTTTCACTCCACCTAATGATTTCGGGTTTCACTTCTTTGGTAGCGTGTGTCATGACATCATTCCTCCTGGATGGCAAGTAGTGTTCTATTGCATGGACAAGACCACACGTTGTGAGCATTCATGTAAGAGTCTTTATGATGATAGGAATTTTATTTCTTTTGCATACTAACTTTGGGTTAGAGTTTCTGTGTCCTCTAGTGATTTTATGTGCAAGATTTTGAGGGATAGCTCCATTTTTGTTTTGTTTAGTTCTGTTTTGTTTTCAAAGTGGCTACAATATTTTACACTTCCATTTCCAGCATATGTGAGTTCCATATTCCTCACTTCTTTTCTAACATTTGTCATTGTATCTTTGCTATAGCCATTTAAGTGGGTGTCAATTAGTATTAATTGTGGTTTGACTTGTATTTTCTTAATAATGGATGAAACTGAGCCAATTGGCAAATTGTGTATCTTCTATGGAAAACGTCTATTCAGTGATCTTAGAACCTCTCTCCTCCCCCTAAATATCTGCCATTCAAAACCCCATGAAACACATGAAGGGGCAGTGTTCAAGTTGGGGACACTGGGAAGTCCTCAGGCCACCCCTGCATGAGGGCTGCCCCAGGAGAGCAGGGCTAACTTGCAAAGGCCCTGAAGCTCTGACAGCCCTGCCCACCTGAGACAGGGGCCCACACAGAGGAGGTGGTCTTGCCAGCCCCCCCAATGCCTGGGTGTCCTCTAGAGACATTTGAAAGAAGGTTCTTTGCCAACAAAGATCCCTGCTACCCAGCAGGCAGGGGTCTGTGTGTGTGTGTGTGTGTGTGTGTACCAGAATTCTAGTGTTTAGAGTGGAATTTGAAAATTAAAGTGTAGGAGCCAGGTGCGGTGGCTCACGCCTGTAATCCCAGCACTTTGGGAGGCCGAGGCAGATGGATCACGAGGTCAGGAGATAGAGACCATCCTGGTCAACATGGTGAAACCCTGTCTCTACTAAAAATACAAAACATTAGCTGGGCATGGTGGCGCATGCCTGTAATCCCAGCTACTCAGGAGGCTGACGCAGAAGAATTGCTTGAACCCAGGAGGCGGAGGTTGCAGTGAGCCGAGATCGCGCCATTGCACTCCAGCCTGGGTAACAAGAGCGAAACTCCATCTCAAAAAAAAAAAAAGTGTAAAGCTGAAAATTTGATCACGCATGATAACACAGCTGCACAATTAAACCACTGCATGATAACACTCTGCTCTGTGCTAGTTGGGTTGTTCCAGAATGCAGGGCCCTGGGAACCTGCCTCCCGACAGAGCCCTAAACAGTGTGTGAGGCCTCATACGTGTGAACCAGGGCAGAAACCTGCTCAAGAGCACGGACCCGGACCCATCCGATGCCTCCAACAGGGCTGAGAGTAGCCCCTTGTCCTTCCTGAGCTTTTTCACTGGGGCTGACCTGGGAGGTGCATGAGGCACTAGGGCTGGGAATTGTGCAGAAGTGCAGAGAGCATGGGGGCCAGGAACTGGTGAGACGGGCGAGAAATAGGCCTTCCTACTGGAGGGGTCTGGAGAGGCACCCAGACCAGGACCACATTTGGGAAAAGAGACAACTGGCCCCGGATGTCCTTTTCTTGTGAAGACCAGCAGCTATGGGGCCTTCAGAAGGGCTTGAAGATGAACCCCCTCAGTTAGTACGCCACCTGAGCACATCCTTCCAGGGAGCCAGGAGCAGCCACGGTGTCCCCTGAAGTCCCAGATCTATGACTGGAAGGTGAGACTCCCTGGAGGAGCAAGGAAGAGGCTCTTCAGTGGGGCAGAAGGCCACACTCTAGGAGGCGCAATGCATTCACGCTTGACCATTCCTGCATCCCTTGCAGTGCCTGAAAGTGCTCACCATAAGCAGCCAGAATCTACCTTCTGGGGACCACAAGAGGCATGGGGACCTCACATGCTTCCTTGTGATCATGGCTGAGGACTGGCAAGGTTGAATCATCGAAAACACACAGGGCTTTCACCTGATTCAGTGGGTCCCTGCCAGCCTGCCATGACCCTCTGACATGCTATCGGTTCTGGGTCTGTGGGAAGACACTCAGCCACCCACTCAGTGACCACCCCCTCTTTGTAGATCCATGACCTCTCATCGCAACCCCATACCTACCAGCAACTCTTCTGAAGCCCTTCCCTAGCAGAGCTGCTCAACCAGATCAGCTGGACCTGCAGAATCCACTTTGCAGGAATGCAGAAAAGGTGGTGTGTGTGCCTCTTCTGCCCTGCCTGTCTCATGCACACAGGGGAAGGGGATGAATCGGCCAGCCTGAACTCCAGGTCTTCCACCTGAAGAAACTGTCCCCAGCCCCTGCTGCCTCAGTTCCTCTCTGGGGAGTCATCAGCCCACATGGGAGAGAGCAACCCTGGGAGAGGAACCCATCTGCTTCTGTCTGACTTTAGGGCAGTGTCACAGGGTACAGAGAACCACGGGCAGGAGGGCCTCGGAGTAGAAGGGGCCCATGGCAGGGTGCTGAGCCTGGGGGGCTGCCCCATCTCCCCGTCCCCTGCCTGCGACAGCATCCAGAGGAATGGCCATCTTGTTCCAGGTGTGCAACTG